CCACAGGCATGTGAGCAAAGCATGGCTTAGAACAAGAGGTCGCTACAACCTCTTGTATAGTGGGCTCCGTCGATACACGCTGTCCCCTTCTCCCCTGGTCTTTTTTACTTCAACATTGTCGACCTGGCCTACTAACAACCCAATACTGTTGCACTTTAATTAGGGAAAGTTAAATAAATTCAACTAGTGGTGACTCCAACCCAAGATGACGAGAACGTCTGCACTGAGAATCCTCCTCACCCATCCACTGACTCACTATTTGACCTTCATTCGTTTGTAGGGCTATGAGACCAGGGTCGGTGCCGGTGGATCCTTACTATCTGGTGGACAGAAACAACGCGTTGCCATCGCTCGGGCCCTAATTCGAAAACCACGATTGCTGCTCCTGGATGAGGCCACCTCAGCACTGGACGTAGACAGCGAGCGTATCGTTCAGGCGACTCTGGACACCGCGATGCAAGCGGGTTCCCGAACCAGCCTGGTCGTGGCCCATCGTCTGACCACAGTAGAAAACTGTGATGCTATTGTCGTGCTGTCTAACGGACGCAAAATTGAGTGCGGACCGCCACAGGCTCTCATGCAGGCCAAGGGTGCCTATTACGCCCTTCACAATGTAGACGCTGCTGCTACTAACCACTAGACAAAGTGGACACTCGACACTAGTATTGTCGCTGACTCTACAGGGTTTTGTGCATTCTTAACACTACGCATTATTACATGGGACTTTTAAAAGCTATGCTATTTATCCCTCGAAATATTTGTATACGTTGCATAAAAGTTTTTATTCCTTTTTTGAAATCGTTTTATCGATTTTCTTGATAAATGCGTAGCAGGGCGCTCAAAATATAAGCAACCTTTTGTAAGCGCTTACTGGAAGGTCTGAATAAAAGAGGTCTTGAGGTATATAATAACTTTGGCCAAGCTAATATCCATACTGCGGATTCACACTCTACCTCTTTGTGGATAAGGTAGTTGCTGAATAGCCTTCTGAAGTTGAGAATAATGCTCTCTGAAATGAGAGGTTTTATTCCACACGGGTTTGATACTTAATATGTGGTTGACACCATTAGCGAAATGTGTTCGCTACCCTATGATGAATTGCGAAATAGGAGGGGGGAGCCATTAGCAAGTTCGACTAACAGC